CGAAGGGCATGGAGTACCGAATCCCTCAACTGCTGAGCTGCTGCGCAGGACCAGAAGTCACCTCCAAATTATGATTTATCCATGATGGGCTTATCCCTGAGTATATATGGTAATACTTTCTAAGTACCCATATATGATTGGAGATAAGAACATCCATAGATAAACAAACCTTGATTTTTTTAACCAAAATACCATAAAAAAATGTGCCATCCTCAAATAAGGCAACTGTGAAGATTAACATTTACAAAAATGTCAAAGGTCTGCTTATCTGCAAGTGGCATATTTTTTATATTTTGGTGAAAAAAATGAGGGTTGGCTTATCTGCAAGTATATATAGTAATTTTTGGATGGAATAGTCCATTCTCATTTGCTTCTTTGATCTCAGGGATCATCTATAACTGATGATGCTTGGCCTTTTAAGGGACTTGTTCTTATCATATCACCTCCACTTCATCCCCAACATAGTATGGAGGCACCCTAACATCATCTGTTTTACTTCTTTTCCTGACACAAATCTTGCCATAAGGACTAAGTACAATGCCTCAGTGATATTGCTGGCATGATCAATGGGTAGAATTTTCCTTCCTCCTATTGGCTGCTTAAGTTTGCTGTGGGCATGCCCTTTCTTTTTCAGCTGGTCACTGACCATTTTGTTTTGGGCTGCAAGTAAGATCAGGTACCAAGCTTATGTGATGGGATCTGACGCAGGAGGAGAGGCAAAGCCTGGAGTCAAGAAATCAGCCTGGAGTTGTTACATTCCCACAAACGATCCAAGTCCAGTTCCTCTTGAATTGTGTTAAATATTATATAGCACCTATTTAGTACTGACTATTGACTAAATTCTTGTGTATAGGAATGAACAATAAATTATCTTAACTGAAACTTAACATGTGTTCCTGATTCTTCATGCTTGACATTTGCTTATGTAAAGCATAATCAGTCCTTTGGTTAGATGTGGCATGAGTTCTGTTTGTACATGTACTAATCTTCTGGAACTTCTTGGACCTGCTTTTAAAAATAAACTTCAAAAGACCAATGCATTTATGACCTCTCCCAACCAAAAAAAGAGGATTACAGCTAATTTAAACTAGGGAAGTGATACTCCCAAATAAATGTATAACAGGATTTTCACAAATTAGCTTTATTGTTTATTAGTTAGAGAAGGTACTACCACTTGGGTTATTCCAAAATTTATAGACCACTTGGACTATGCATACTCTGCGGGCTACTTCGAGGTGCTGCCAACTCCATTTCAAATATGATTGTCACACTTCTGAAAGAGCAATGCTTGTTTATTTATATGGAAATGCTAATCTTCTAGAATGGACTTGTATGACAGCGTGATCATTTTTTAATATGTGGATATCAATCTTGATATAATGAAATCTGTCTTCCAGAAGACTGATATTTGTAGATAAAAATGACAACCTGACTGACTTGTTATCAGGGTTCAGAGGAAGCACAGGATAATGTGGGATGCCTCTGCTGATGTACCTGCAAGCTTTCTGCTATGCCACTCTATATATTCCCACTCCATATTGATCTAGCAGCTGGGATTTTTTTTTAATTGACAGCAAAATAAATTGCCCTACACAAGGCCAATAAACACCCCTTTCACTTGTGCAACTGGAAAAATAACAAAACTCTGCACCTTGAGCACATGTCTTGAGTCTGCCAACCCACCTGTCACTTGTTATGGAGAGTAACTGGTTTTCCTGTCTGCGGATGATTTAGGGTGCGAGAGGAAAGAAAACTGGAGAATCTTCCAATGGCTCCCCTGAAATTGTCCCATATTAGATCTGTAAGGAAAGAACCATCTGCTGGCCTTGTTGTTGCAAAACAATAGAGCTTGGCTATGGGGACAGCACAATTTATGTTGACACAAGAATGGAAAGAATGCATATTAATCCTGTCATGAAGTGCCCTGAGGTAGACTAGCGAACAGCTATCCTGATTTATTTGAAAATGAAATACTGCATCCCAAAGAATGAAGTCCCAGGAAAATTTGACAGCATACTTCAAAAATCCAGATGCATTTACATACAGGATTTCTCCTCATATATAGCTATATAGCAAACTGTAACTATGTATAACTTCTGATGCTGTATAACTTCTGAAAAGGAAATACAAAAATTAATTTAATTGGAACAAAACAATTAATAAAGTTTAAAAATATGTATTTTTTAATTCTAAATCTATTGAGTTTCTGAAGCATTAATCTGCCAGTTTCTTAGAGCCTTTCTGAAAATGCTAGTTAGCAAATTCCTCAACTCAGCAAACAATAGCTAGTGGTAGAGTAAGTCCATGGTTCACTTCTACATTTTTTCACGTATCGGTTATTTACTTATATAAAGCACCTTATAATAAAGACAAACAATAGTGTCAGCTCTGGTATATAACCCACAACATTCCTTTGGAATCCTATTTCTTTATAGATGTTTATAGAAACCTGACATGTCAATTCATTGCCAGCTTTTATCTGATAGTTTATCAGAGTACAGGCAAGTAGTACAGGAATTGATTTTTCTGGAAAAGAATTTCAGAAATAATCCAAAACAAAACCCAGATAAATGTTGAAAAAGTTAGCTTTGCTGGATGTCAAGAATTAAAAATAGCCTAGTTTTTCACCAGTTGTTTGTACTTTAACTTGAGACTCTTTCCAGATAGTCAACTGCATATTTGTGTATTTTTCAAAAAAATTGGAAATATTCAAAGTCTCTTAAAATGTTGATTTTATGAGAAATATTTTCTCAGATTTTTTAATTCTTCTACTGAAATAGCAGTATTTTTATTTATATTTTATCAATTTATCAATTTGTCGCCCATTTTGTGGTTCAAAGCAACTGAGCATCATTATACTAACTTATTTTTTAAAACATTTTTCCAGGAAACAGTTGGATGTTCTTTTTAGTAAAAAGTTGTCTAATGATTTATTGAAAGGATACAGAATGGGTTATTTCTAGTATCTTTAACGGTCACATTTGAACTACAATGTATGTAGTTCTCATCACTGTTCCATCTCAGAAATGATACTGAGACAAGAACAAGAGGTTGTACAGAAAAGGGAAATTTCCCTTTAATTAAAAATGACTTATGACCATTTTTCACATGACCATTGCAACATCCCTATGGTCACCTGATCACTTGGCAACTGACTCATATTTATGACAGTTGCAGTTTCCTGGGGTCATGTGATCACCTTTTGCAACCTTCTGACAAGCAAAGTCAACAGGAAAGCCAGATTCACTTAACAACTATGTTAACTAATTTAAGAACTGCAGTGATTGACTTAACAACTGTGGCAAGAAAGGTTGTAAAATGGGCAAAACTCACTTAACAAATATCTCACTTAGCAACAGAAATTTTGGGCTCAATGGAGTCATAATAAGTCAAGGCCTACCTGTATCCCCTCATACATTGCATACTTCATAAAATACTAACCAAAGGTCCCAAACATGGACTTGGTTGTCACTGAACTCAATAAGGCAGCAATTCACACAGATTAGATTGTTTTATTAAACAGGAATCCTGGAACAGATGACCTTCTGTCTCTTTTACCAGAAAAGGCATCTTTATCTGCACAGAGTGATAAGCTAGTAATACCACATTCATAGTCAAAAAGAAGTAAAGATAGCTAAAGGAATGTTCTGAAAACTTAGTTGTCACTGTGATATTAAAATGGATAAAAGCGAACAAAATCCTAAACCATCAAAATATCTGGGGTTCATATCCAGGAACAAATTATTATCCTACAGATGAGTGAATTCAGCTATGACACGGGTTGTGATGGTACTCAACACTTAATAAAAAGCACTACTTGTATTTTCAAACAGTGTAATAAAACAGAGAAAAACTGTGTAAGATATTTCAATTTAGATTTATTGTTCTACAAACTTAGGGTTTTTTTATTTAAATGATCAGCAATTGAAAAATATAACTGCTATTATTTATTTGTGTTCAAACAAATGAACAGCAACGCATTAACTCCATTTTCAGTTTTCTTTGACTAAAATAGAATAAAAAGTCATTTTAAAGGTTCATGCTCTTCTCCTTCTTCCTCTTTATAAGGACTGTTCTTTAAGGTCTTACATGTGGTTGCAATAATAAAAGCCTTCTGCAAGAATAGTTAGCTTTTTGCTGTTAAAATTATGTACTGCCACTCATCAGTTTATTGATTCAAGGAAATAAATCTCCACAGGAGCAAATATTGACTTTTGTTATGAAAATGGAAGTGAATAGCTTACTGAACATTGATTTTAGAAAAGAATGAAAAAGGACAAGTCTTTAATTCCCCCAATGTTCTTTCTCAGACTGAAATGTTATCTCTTTTAAAAATAATACTACTTCTAGAAAGCAATGAAGTTGACAAACCCATTTATACAGAAAAGGATGCTGAGGCCAAGTGACTTCAACTTGATTCTGCATGTGAATATTACAGAATGCTGGTTTGCTATACAGGGGATGTGAAAGATACTTAGTTTTTATTAAATATTATGCTAATTAAATGTCATGCTCCCTGAACATCTCAATGAAGTTACATGATGATTTCCAGGAGATCAACCTATGTTTGGATTCTGCACGTATGCTGGGGATAATGTTTGTGATGAAAAAGAAGGCGGAGTATGTAGAATACATAGTCGCAATAAGGTCACCCGTGGTGTGAAGTTTAGCCCAGCAGTCCAGTTAAAGCAAGCTGTTATCTATACAAGGTGGTGACAATACATGAAGTTGCTGGAGGCAGATGATCACTTTAGTTATAATGGCAAAGATGTCATTACATTCTGTGAGGGAGAAAGAAATGGCAAACCACTCCAAGAAAACCACAGCTGTAGATGAGATAGTGACTGAGAATGTGGTCCTAGAATATGAGCCCCTCAGGCTGGATGGTAACATGTTACTGAAGAAGTGTTGAGGATTGTTTGGTGTATTAATGCTGTTTCTGATATGACTAGACTAAAGCCTTCAAGATATGTAGTTGCTGATGTTGGTAAACAGGAAAAGAAAATCCTAAATCTTTTATTTATTTTATCAAATTTAGGTACAGCCCCTTTTACACTCAGAATGACCCTGGCCATTGTATAGTTAAAAGCATAAAAACCATATAAAATGCAGTGGTATATTTACAGTCTCATATTTACAACAGTTCATAAGAGAATATATTGGTTAGACTTTAAGATGACACAAGACTGGGTGTGATACTGATTATACTGCATGAATGTAAATAGGATACACTTTGGTTTCAACATTAAAAAATGTTTTTGTTTATTTAGTGTTAGGTCTCTAATATTCTTATGATATACTGCTGTATGACAATTGGATAATTTGTTTCCTCCTAAGTCTAAATATTACACTAACTTTACCTTTACACAGACTGAGTACAAAACAGGCAAGTGGGCAAGAACTATTCCAAATACACAATTCTAAAGGAATGTCAGAAGTAAAATGGAATCAGCTATAAATACTCTGTCTTTTCAAAATTTCCTAATTGTTTTCATGACGGCCAACTTTAATGGAAACAGTTCAAGCCAAATATTTGCGTTGGCTGAAGGTACTGGAATTATGGTCCTAAAAATATGCACTGCAGTTTCTCAAAGCCCCTTGTGAAGGCACTGACATAGTTCAAGGATTTTCAATAAATAGCTAGCAAAAGGCATAGAGATATAACTCTTTATCTTAATTCTTGTATCTGGGTTATGCAATCTGTTCCTTCATTTTGATATTATTAACTGACTTAAGAAGAGGGAAAATTGAGAATCACAATGTTGGAGACAAATGCAAGCTTGTAGAAAGCTGTGTGGTACATGCAAATATTTTCCTTTGAAAATTAAAAGCTTGCTGGATTTTTAAAGTTCAATTTGTTTAGCAGATCTGCTTATCTGTTGTCTACTGAACTGTGTAAGCAGCAGCCAGACCCCCCCCCAAAAAAAAAATTCACAGAAATTTGAAAAAGGAATTGTTTAAAAAGAGCTTTATGATAATACTGAAGTGAATTCCTAAACAACACTACAGTCTGTATAGAATATCCATAAAGGTCATTAGCAAACCCAAGAACACTTCAGCAGAATTGAATTGCATATGATTGAAGAAATAGTATAGAATTATCAATCTCCACTACCTTGAAAAGTCAAACAAGGTAGGTAAAAACATAGCTGTTTTTCTTATATGCCTGGCCTTCAGGAACTACTCTAAACTCAATATCCTCAATTGGAACTTAGGTTCCAGCTCATTAAACTTTATACTTCTACATTTTAGTTGGCTGGCACATTTCATATTTCTACTATTAATTGAAATAAGGGCTGCACCCATCAATTGCCATCTTGAGGGCTAAAACGACATCTCAACCTTTGACAGGTTTTGAATAAATCTATTAATCAATGGAAGCAATGTAAATTCCGAATTCATCCATAATTTGGGCAAAGTTATTTAACACTATACTCACAAAGTTTCTCAGTATCAGGGAAATTAGTTGAGAAAGAGTCATGTAATGGGCTATCCACAAAGTTGTGGTATTCATGCATGCTGTAACTATGGAGGAGGAAGGAGTATGTATGGGGTTGCATGTGTACCTGGGATGGGTTGCCAGATGGAATAAAACCATATCGAGTTTTGAAAACCAGTAAGTTTGCTTAGTATTGATGGTATGGCAAAGGAGGAACTGATGCTTAATAATCAAGATTTGCACTCACATATGTGCAAAAGAAGGCAATATACTTCTCCTTGAAGTGCTTGCTACAGCAGGAGGAATGTATTGCAGTTTCCATGGCTTTCCTAATTCAACTTCTTGTTCAAAATCAGGGTTTGAAAAGCCCATTCAGACCATTAAGACTAACTCCTTGTTCAGTGAAGGAATCCTAATTAAAGTATTCTCAATAGTAGGGTCTCTAGACTTGATCCAAAAATACACAGTGAAGGCGAATCCACTATCTCTCTGGGTAATTGGTTCCACTATCAAAAAGCTCTTACTTTTAGGATGCTTAAATCTGCCTTCCTTTAATTTAAATTCATTCTTCTGTGACCTGCACTCAAGAACATCAGAGAATAATGCAATGTTCATTTGAAGCAATCTTGGGAGGAAAGTTTGTGGCAAAATTATATCATTCACTTTGGTGAAAACGTATAGCACCAGCATCACCCCAAAAATGGTTAACACAAATACATATTAAGTTTGTGCTTATGCATATATATTTATATAGCTATGCATAGATATATTCACCTTCTAATGTGCAGCTCATTCAGCATTAAGAACTTCTACACACTTGACTAAACCTAGGTCAGGAATTCCACGTTCACTTTCCCCAAGACTCAGTAACTTTTCTCATAGGGCAATATTCCTAAACCTTACCATTTGAACCTTACAACTAGATCTGCCATTTTGCAATGATCTTTCTGAACTTTGATTAGTAGATCATGGGACTGTTGAAGATGATAATGCTATCTACATTATGTGTTAGAAGACCACTCTCAGAAAATAAATGAGCCTTTCCCATAGTCTGAATCTAGCCAAACAACATTCTCAGCCTAATGATAAGTCTCATCCTACAACTGAAAAAACAGTAGGTCTCTTTTAGTAATAGAACCAGTGGTAACACTTATAACAAGTAGAGCTCAAGCTGCTCTCGGGGTTTTTTTTTATGTTTGTGTTTCTTTTCCTTAAATCCTAGACAAAGAGATTAAACTGTACTTCTCCTCAAGTTGAGATTGCCCCAAAACAAAATACCTCCTTTTCCTCTACCCAAGTTTAAGTGGAAGAAATCAAGAAAAGGGGCAAAGTGGGAAATTATTCACATGTTTCTGAAAGCAAAGAAAGTAAACAACACACCAAATAAGCTGAAATTCCTACCAAAAAAATCCAAAATGACTCTAGAGTTACCTTACGATCTTCTTTAAAGAGTTCTGCTGCTGTTGTGAAATGTGGAATTGAGTTTTTACAATGTGGACACCCTGTGGGATAAAGAAACATAGTGATAAGCCACATGAGAAGTGTTTGGCAATAAAAAGCCCCATCAGAAGTTCACAGCAAGTTTGAAAGCTAAGCAATAGCCCATTTATCTTCCTATGAATGAGTCAGATGTTTTCATTTATTTTATTTATTAAATTTCACCACACGGTGACTCTGTTCATGTGTAATTCTCACACTATTTACACACAATGGTAATAGCACTTGTAGCAGCAAACATATACAAACTCATACCATACAATTCTCAAAATTCAGGCCTGTTTTACCCAAAACAAGCCCAACAGCGATCCATTTTATAGATCACAAAAGATTTTAATTTGACTTCAGCCGTATCATTTGCAAACACCTACCTACATACTTGTCTTTTCTTATATCAGTGCACAACAAAGCAGAGTGGAACATGAATAATGTTTTATTTACTTTGCATAGTTGTTCTGAGATTCTGTCTATTGTAAGTAAGAAAGAGGGGGAAATAACACGAAGAGGAAGGAAGTAGAAGATAAAGGGAAGAAGAACCAGCATGGAACTCAGGCAAAAAGATCAAGCAACTGGACCGGGGAATCTTGGCTGTATTGCTAACTGGCCATCTTGTTCCTAAGTATATTTAACCTGGATGTTTTTAGTATATTTCATTGTAATACATTTTTTTTCAATTGTAAGCAACCCAGAGTCATTGACTGAGATGGGTGACTATAAAGAATGAATGAAAGAAAGAATGAATGAATGAAAAGCCTCATTTGATGATAATTTCCTCAGACAAGCGTTCCTACTCTCTGCCCCCAAAATATAATCATAAAGCTGATCTTCAATACACCCACTGTCTGCAGTTAAGATTGTCTGCTATTTTCATCTCATGAGATTTTCTTTAACTTCTGAATGCAAGATAACTATTTTTAATACTGTATTTATTGTCAAATAAAACTCTACCTATGCCTTGATATACTGAGAACTAGAAAGTCATATCTACATTTTCATACAATAGGCAAAGAAGAATTCTCTTAACATAAATGGATGGAATCCACATTTAGCCAGGGAATAATTAATTCCCTTCTGCACAGAAGATTTATAGGAGCAAAATATTGATGCAAAAAGAACAGAGGTGTTTTAGCAACTATGTAAACTGATGTGGGAGACGATAGAACTCTAAAATCTATAGCACAAAATGAAGTACAACATCTTTCTACAGTTGACTTTATAGTAAGTCAACATATAGCAAATTTAATATTAAGGCCCTAGAATGAAGTAAATCAGTGGTTAGCTATACTTGGTTTCATAAAACAAAAGTTTAAATTTGATTTGAGTTCAATGAACACTTCAAATTATTCATCCATACATGCATATTAGAGACCCATTCCGGTGTACTGTAGTGGTTAAGATGTTGGACTAAGAGTCAGATTCTAGTTTCACCTTTGGCCTCAGAAGCTTACCACTGTAGATGATTTAGCCCAACTTTACCTCATAGGATTGTTATGGGGAAAAATAGGAAAAGAAGGCACAATGTATGCTGCTGAAGCTCCCACACAAAAGACAGAATATAAATTTCTCTCTCCTGCACATGCTTACATATACACTTATCATTCTTTTCCCTTTCAAGATGTATTTGTGGACGTATTCTGGGAAAATACATATTGCACAGTACTATTATTTGGAGGGCACGTGAGCTTGCAAGTAGGAATCTGATTAATGATTTTAAGAAGTCCCACAGGGCTCTAGAAGCAGGCTTCTTGCCTATTATCAGCAGCAAATGATCAGAGAACTAAACTTAGGGAGATTGTATGATAGCATAGTCCGAATCTCTGAAATGTGGATAGAAGTACTGTTCAAGAACAGAGTTTTTCCTCCATTCACCCACTGCTTAAGTGAATTTCATGATTCAATCCACAATGTATTCTTGAAAGATATCAGTGGAAAACTGGTTTTGCAAATCATGTCTAACTGATCCATAAACAAATTTATAATGAAACTATTGGAGAGATGGAAGAAAATAAATTAGAAGGCAGATTTTAGAAGTATCAGCAGATTAGAAAGCAAATGCTCTTCAACACAGAACATAATCTTTAAACTTTTCTTTCTGCCTTCTAATTTCCTAATCCTAATTTCCTAAATTATCTTCTTCTCCCTTTTGTTATTTTATTTTACTTAATGAAACCAGGCTTTATTAATCTAATTGTTAAATATTTTTTTCTCATTTTTCTCTTGCCAGGACCTTAATAAACTTTTTGAATGGTCCTTTCCAATATTCAGTCCAGTGCATAAAAGCCTGTCCCTCAGATTTCAGGTGTGGATTTGAGATACGAGGTTTTTTAAAATTATTTGTTTAGGCTGCATTGTTATATGAACTGGAATCAATGAAGAATTGCTTTTCATTATTTCATTAACTGAACTGGTAGAACTTTAAAGTGGAACCACAATAAAATATTAATGAAAAATCAAATTATTGCTCATTTTGCTTTGAATTTAGGCACATTAATAAATAAAATAGATATGCATGCCATAATTAGTACTTTACCTGATAATGTTAAGACTTATGTTATGGTTCATTGTTTAAATAGAACTCTTTGCTTGCTAGCAATTGATATGTCCCTTTTACTTATAGTCTGTCTCTATCATCAGGAATTGAGAGAGGAGAGAAGGGTTATACAGTATTCATATTCCACCCAAACTGCTCAGCTGATTAGCAAGGAACCAATATGAAGAAAAACGGGTTGATGCAATTCTCTTTCTTTTCCACAGTTTTAGCTTACAAGTGGGAAAAAAAACAAACATTGAATGGGGAAAAAAATTAGGGAGACTTTATGAAACAGCCTAATTGTATCAGGTGATCCACCTCTAAGCCTCAGATAAACCAAACTGTATATTATCCGGAATATATACCTACCAATTGGATGATTTATATATAGCTCAAGAAAGGTACAAAATGCAAGTAACAGAAGCACATATTCCCAGGTCTTTTAAAGAAAATAGTTTTTTTGTTCAGATGTTCAGCTGTTTCTGAATCTTTATGACCCAATAAACATCATTTCACCAAGACCATCTGTCAGTAATTGCTTGAGTTCTTGTAACTCATGCTCATAGTACCAATGATTGTTTCTAGTCATCTGTCAGCAGCTTTATGATTGGTTGCCTTTATCATTGCAATCACTGTAAACTTGCCTTCACATTATGGGCAACAATATCTAAGCTTTAACTTCAGCAAGTATTGCGCACAATTGTCTCCTCATGTACAGGATACTTGAGGAATATTCCTGATGACAGGCTGCCATCTACATTTACTCATATTATTTCTTTAAATTTTTCTTATCCTGCAGATGTAAGAAACAAGGAAGAGTTTTGAAACGGAACCTTATTTAACTGCAGTAAGAATAGAGCCACCATGTGTCTATATCATGATTCTACCTTCAATTTGCAGAAGAAAGAAAAATTGATTGGAACTTAAAAATTGCATTTCTCTCTCCCTCTCTCTCTCCCTCTCTGTCTCTCTCTCTCTCACACACACACACAACTATTGTCAGTTCTTTTGTGGCCTTTCAACCACATATTTTCTTTCTTCCTCTTCACCGAACTCATTGATTCTTCAGTGTTTTAGGTGAAAAACCACATTTTATCATTTAAGATCTCCTAGCCACAGCTTTAAAAGCTAATGGGCATTAACTGAACTTCGGATATCCTTCCAAACAGAAAGATGTAAATCCTGTGCTGAACTCTCAAGGAGCAAGAAGTTATCAGAAAATAACTAAGAAGAATCTGGATTCTTGCTGGATTAGCAAACTTCATCTATTACAATTACCAAATGCAGCAAATGAGAAGAAACTCAATTTAATTATTTACTTTTTTAAAAAGTTCAGGCAAGCTCAGAATCCATTACAGATGTGATTTCCATTCCCTCAACAGCAGATTCCATTTTCACAACAAGCCTTCATCCAATATCACTTTTTAATCAATTACTGTATTTATTTTCCCCATCCCAAAAACAGCAACAACCCCTTCAAAGAAGTAATATTCTTAAATGTCTTTCTCAATTTGGTATGTAGACCATTTCAATATTTTTAAGAGCGGAAGATGTGACAGTATAGTAGAAGAATTAACCTCCTGCTCGAAGAAAACTAGCTTCAGAGTATTTGGTGCTATTTATGAAGGCTGATTTCTGATTTTCTATGACTAAATCCTCATGCAAGCAAACTATTCATACAAAGTACTTAAACATGTACAAGGCAATATATATAGATTAAATTCCTACATAATCAGGTACTGTACACCAGTTTAATTCTATGGTTGCATGCAATGCTTTTTGTAAAAAAAAAAAAAAGATGCCAGAACTCACACACGTCATACAACCCGCCTTGCTTATCCTACAAGGTTCCATCCCAAAAAGGTGCCAGAACTCCGTTCTGGGCGTTCTATGACAAAAAAAAGCCCTGGTTGCATGAAATTCCAATGACTTTATAGCTGTGTAAAATATAAACATCCACAGAGGGGACTGCTTTGTTGTATGCAACATTTCAGCACAAATGGCAGTATTCAATAACAAATATAAGTGACTTTTATGCCTGGAGATAAAAACTGGCGCAATGAGAGACTGGATATTATAAAGATTATTATAATAGTTTCAGTTCTCCATGTACTGTATCTTTATGGGTAATTTGCAAAAAAACAATTGAATTACATATAGCTAGGAGATAATCCTCTTTGAACCAATGAGGTTTAAACTTGCAGGTATAATCAACAATTCAAACAACAAATGTTAGAACTAAAATCTGAATGATGGATTGTTTAGGATCAGTGCATCTAAGCACAGGCAGAGCAAATATATTAATGATGGAAGTACTAGAGCAGACATGTCAAACTCACAATGTCATCTGATGTCGCGCAACGAATTGGAACGGTTTTGCCATTGCTGGCAATGGAGTGGGCGCGGCTTCCATGTGACGTGTCCGGCCCGTGGGCCGGCAGTTTGACACCCCTGTACTAGAGTTTAAAGGGTGAC